TTTTATATGGTTCTAGTAATATTTCCTAATTTCCATGGGATTTGAGCTAAACATCCTTAAATTAAAACTTAAAAAAGCGTCTCGAATTATTCTTCAAAAGCACTATCATTTTTCAAATGTTACACAAATACCTTAAAAATAAAATTGATTTTCAAGATTTTATAATTTAAATTTTTGGATTTGGGTTAACTATTGGAGAATTAGCGTATAATTTTTAGGGGGTTGAGTTTGGATTTAGGTTTATGATTTAGTTTTGAATGCTGAAAGTTAATTTTAATTTTGTATTATTTATGAAACATTTGAAAATTTGTGGTATTTGTGAAACATTTGAGACATGGTGGTATTTTTGAAATTAAAACTTTATTAAGCGGTATCTGTGAGAATTGTCTAAAATTAATGTTATGAAAAATACAATCCAATACATGATTTTAAATAATTCAATTAAAAATATATATACGAAGATGGAATCTGATACAACTAGGTCACAAACTTCAATTTTTGTTAACTTTACTTCTTGGTAAAATATTAAAATGGCCCAGTAGACCCATTAAGTAAAATTGGAAAAATAAATCCCAAATAAAACCCTAATGCCACTCTCTTCTTATACTCGCCTACGCCAATAAAACCCTAATGCCACTCTCTTCTTCATTCTCTCATGACAAGTTTGCTGATTCTCTCAGGTACTAATACATTTTTATTTGATATTATCACGATACAGAAATATAGTAGAGAATAGGAAATAGCAAATCTAGAATTTATGTGATCTCTAATCGACAAGTTGTAAAGTAGGTGCAAGATCCTTTTTTAAGGTCTATATATATGAGGAACTATAGACCTTAAAAAAGGATCTTGCACCTATTTTACAACTTGTCATTGATTTTCTTTCACGACCAAAACAACAAAAAGTTGGTTTATGGTGGAAGTTGTTTCTCACATCTTTCAATGTCTATGGACTACGGAACGGTAAAGCTTTTATAACTATGGACAAGCTTTTCTCCTCTCAAGTTTGGTAACGATTCAGATGTAGCATCAACACGAGGGGAAGATTTGGCTCCAAGTGCTACAAAGAAGACGAGAGTGTGAAAGAAGAGCAAAGAGACCATAGATCGTCTTGATGCTACTTCTGAATCTTTACCAAACTCAAGAGGAGAGATGCTTGTCGATACTCTTGTAGAAGCAATACAAAACGGTTATTCTGATTCTTGGTTGAGTGTAGTTTCATCTTCTATGTTATCATATATGTTGCGGGGAGTTCATGTCAACTCGTAATTGCTGATTTTTTTTTGTTTTTGGGTACAAAATGATATGGTAATTAAGTAGAGAGGCCACACTTATCTTGGTCCAAGAATCCAAAAATGCTGGACCACAGATTGGAAGATTTAGGGATAAAAAACAGAAGCTGTAGCGTGAACATGAAAGTTGCTAAGAACAATGATAAAATAGATGCCTGATCATGAGGCTAAATCTGTGAAGTCTAGTAAGAAAAAAGTAGTCAGAAATGTGTTAGACTCTTAGGAAAATCTGGACAAAATTAGGAAGATATCAATCAAGCAAGAGGTAGAAGAAGAAACACTCTTTGAACATTGAGGAGAACTAATTGTCTTGATTTTAGTCAACCATCTTCGTGATTCTAATTGTAGTTAACTATCTCTTGTGATATACCAAATACATTAAAAAAGAACTTTTTCGTGATGTCATTAGTGGGAAATATCAGTCCAATTGACATACCTATAGTTTGTTTAGCCATGTACCTAATTTAGGATGTACTATTGCAAAAGTTGGACTAGTTTCTACTAAAATGGGAAATGTTGGTCTTTATCTAACTTCTCTTGGCACCTTTTTTTAGCTCTACTTATTTTGGTAAATTCAATTCAAGGTCTAGAATTAGATAACGTTTAAGCATGCTTTTCGTTCTTACTATTTTTTTCTTCTATAAATTAAAATCAATAACAGATACCGAAAACAAGTCGAATCAAATGGAGCTCTCTCTTAAACCTTCAACTCGAAAGGTAAGGTTACTAAAACTTAGTTTGTAGTAAGATGGATTAGTTTGAGAGAGAATCAAAAATGTGTTTTGTTTTTCTTTTCAACAGATGAGGCAGACAAGTTTCTCTATATTAGTAGTTTTGGCACTAAGTAGTTTTACGGTGATGGAATCTCGGGATCAAGGCAGCATGGCAAAGGCAAATATCGAATATACAGCGATTAACTGTCGAAAACATAGCGCATTTATAACCGAATTTGGAGCACTGGGTGATGGAAAAACATCAAACACAAAAGCGTTTAATGAGGCCATAACCAAGCTTGCTCCTAAGGCGGCCGACGGTGGAGTCCAACTCATTGTTCCACCTGGGAAATGGCTTACCGGGAGTTTCAACCTCACTAGCCATTTCACTTTGTTCATTCAACAAGGTGCAACTATCCTTGCTTCTCAGGTATGAATATATATATGATTTCCATTTACAATATACATAAGTGATTTCCAATAAATATTTTGTGTAAGGATTTAGCATAAATTTTTATGCTTGTTTTTAGAAATTTAATTTTTGGTTGAAATAAATAGGATGAATCAGAATATCCAGTGGTGGCCCCTTTGCCATCGTACGGACAAGGAAGAGATGCAGCAGGACCAACGTTTGCTAGTTTAATCTCTGGCACAAACCTAACTGATGTTGTTATCACCGGTAAGGATAGCCAAAAAAATAATACAATATATGATATGTCAAAAATAGATCATAATTCAGGAACGATTTGACCATAGTTTCGGACTTTCTAATAGTCAATTTCAATTATATATGTGCAAACTATTCACTAGTGACTACTTCTATCTTTGTTACAACGAACCGTATAATATAATGTTCATTAGAAAAGCAGTGTTACGACCAAAAATCAATGTTATTTTGAATAATGTATCTTAGTTAAGGAATTAAATCTAGAATTGATCGAATATGTTTGGTTAGGTAACAACGGAACAATCAACGGGCAAGGAAAATACTGGTGGGTGAAGTATCGTAGTGGTGGGTTTAAGTCGATCACAAGACCTTACACAATTGAAATCATGTTCTCTCAAAACGTTCAGATCTCGAATATCACCATCATCGATTCACCTGCATGGAATATTCATCCCGTGTATTGCAACAATGTCATTGTTAAAGGGGTTACCATTCTTGCTCCTATCGACTCTCCTAACACCGATGGAATCAACCCGGGTACGTCCATAATCCCACGTCACAATATATCTAACAACAATATAATTGTAGTAATTTTAGAAACAAAACTTCAAAATATGATATTTTGAGAAGGTATAATTTATGAAGTAGCCAAGAAAAAAAACTAAATCAAATAAATAGCCAAAAACCCTAAATTTAATGGCCATAAGTTTGCCACATGAATCACTTTTGGTTACTTATTTGGGTTAATTTTTTTCTTAGCTATTCCACGAATTAACCCTTTTGAGAATTACCTTTGTTTGTTTATGCTTGCAAACAAACAATCGTTGCTAACTATTGTCATATATCTAACATGGATTTGTATATTTGAAGTGACATCGTTTTCACACTTTTTTTCTTTGTCATTACTCTTTTTTAGATTCATGCACCAACACACTGGTAGAAGACTGTTACGTAGTCTCCGGCGACGATTGCATCGCCGTGAAGAGTGGTTGGGATCAGTTCGGTATCAAAGTCGGAATGCCAACTCAGCAACTCTCGATCCGACGTCTCACATGCATTTCCCCCGATAGTGCTGGAATAGCACTCGGAAGCGAAATGTCCGGTGGAATCAAAGATGTTAGAATGGAAGACATTACGTTACTCCAAACACAATCCGCTATCCGAATCAAAACCGCGGTTGGTCGTGGTGGTTACGTCAAGGACATTTTCGCCCGGAGGTTCACAATGAAGACGATGAAATATGTTTTCTGGATGAGCGGTGCTTATAACCAACACCCTGCTTCGGGTTTTGATGCCAAGGCTATGCCCGAGATTACGAATATTAACTACCGTGACATGACCGCGGATAACGTTACACAACCCGCGAGGCTCGATGGACTCAACAACGATCCTTTCACAAAGATATGTATGTCGAATATAAACATTGCTTTGGCTGCTGAACCCAAGAAATTGCTGTGGAATTGTACGAACATATCCGGAGTTTCGAGCAAGGTGACACCGAAACCGTGTAGCTTGTTGCCAGAGAAAGCTCCAATGGACTGTGCTTTTCCGGTTGACAAGATTCCTATTGAATCCGTTGTCTTGAACAAATGCACTGCTTAGAGAATGTTTCCGAGATAATATCATTTTATTTCATCATACAATATAACGTTTTTTTCTTACAAAAGAAATGTATATTAATTTCCTTAGAAAAAATGTCCCAGCTGTTATTATATAAGACTGATGGGTTCTTGCATTGGATTTAATATACGCATACAAAGTTGGCTTTGTGGGATTAATCAAATTCCGTTGTTAATTAATACATGATTACAAAGATTGAGAATATTTGATCGTCTAGTGATGCATCTTCCAATGTGACTGGTACAGTGGTCCTAGCTTGAAAAGAT